ACAAGGAATGACTTAGGGAACTGGGTATGTTTAGCCTAGAGAAGAGACTGTTAAGTCAGGATATGATAGCCCTGTTTAAATATTTGAAGGGATGTCATATTGAGGAGGGCACTAACTTGTTTTCTGCTCCTCCTGGAACAATGGATGAAAACTACAGGAAATGAGATTCCACCTCAACATTAGGAGGAACTTCCTGACAGTGAGAGCTGTTCGAAAGTGGAACATACTCCCTCGGAGTGTGTTGGAGTCTCCTTCTTTGGAGGTCTTTAAACATAGGCTGGATGGCCATCTGTCAGGGATGCTTTCATTTTGAGTTCCTGCATGGCAGAATGGGGTTGGACTGGATGGCCCTTGGTGCCTCTTCCATGATTTTATGATTCTACATTATTTCTATACCCACACTGATAGCTAGTGTGGTGTAGTGGTTTGAACTTTGGACTACGATACTGGAGACTAGGGTTCGAATCCCTGCTCGGCCATGGAAACCCACTGGATGACCTTGGGCTAATCACACTCTCTCAGCCTCTGAGGAAGGCAAAGACAAACCCATTCTGAACAAATATTGCCAAGAAAGCTCCACAATAGGTTTGCCTCAGGATCACCATAAGCTAGAAACAACTCGGAGGCACACAACAAGAGCTCCAGTGGCTCTCGCCGGTATAGCCAGTGGCTGGAACTGCAGTAGCTCCAGCACAGCAACATCTGGAGAGCCAGTTTCCCCAACCTTGCCCTTTAAGATATTCAAAATGGCAATCCTGGACATGTACCGAGGGCTGCAAGTCTCTGCTATCCAGGAAAGAAAGAATCAGTTGTAGCTGTTAGGGTACAAATATAATGGCTATCCCTGACACATTGAACAAAAACATTACCCCTCCCCCTCCCCATTTTAACACAAGACCTCCCCAGCACTTAGCTTGACATAGGGTACATCTATTGTTGTCAAGAGATCTTGCAGCGCCTTTGAGACTAAATGAAGAAAGAAGTAGACAGCAGTCTACAAAAGCTCATGCTGCCAACATCTTTCTTTAGTTAGTCTGAAAGGAGCTACAAGATATCTGTGCATACTATTCTACTTACTAACATGGCTATATCTTTCAATTATACATCTATTGTTGTTGTGTGCCTTCAAATCCCAGCCTGGATATCTAAACCCACTGGGTGATCTTAGGCAAGTCACACTCTCTCAGCCTCAGAGGATGGCAAACCTCCTCCAAACAAATACAGTAGAATAAATACAGGGGATTTGTTCTGGACACATACACCCGTGAAAATGGAAACTCGCAAATAATCAAGCCTCATTGGCTTGAATGGCTGCGTGCTCCTGCGCACGCTATTTAATTTAATCGAGCTCACCCCTCCATGAATAATCAAGACTGTGGACATTAAGTCCGCAAAAATGGAGGAGTGACTGTATTGCCAAGAAAACCGCATGATAGGTTTGCCTTAGGGTCACCATAAGTCGGAAACAACTTGAAGGCACACAACAACAACAACAACAACAAGCCTTCAAGTCACTTCTGACTTATGGCGATCCTAAGGCAAACGTATCACAGGACTTCCTTGGCAAGATTTGTTCAGACAGGGATTGCCTTTGCCATCCTCTGAGGTTGAGAGAGTGTGAGTAGCCCAAGAGGGGATGAATCCTAATCTCTAGAGTTCAACACCCAAACCACTACACTACGGTGCCTCTTAAGGGTGCCTCTATAGTCGGCCCACCACATCCTTTAATATTTGCGGCTTTGATTATTCGTGGGTTTGACTGTGCTCTCCTGTGAAGGTTTCCTCTGCTTCCTACCTTGTCTTACATTCCCTCCCAGGGAGTAAGACAGAAGCAGAGGGACCCTTTGCCACCATGGAAAGGTTCTCTATGGTCCCACTCTACTCCTACTTAGCTGGATGGGACCCCTTGAGACCACCGCATGGTCTGGAAGGGTGCACACACACAGTGGCATCACTAGGAGGGTGCATACACACCAGGTGACACCTTAAGTGTGGGTGACACCACTGCTCCTCAAACATCTACCTTTGGGCAAAAAGGGGCTGTGGCATTCACCTGTGTCCCTTTAAAATGCTGAAGAGACAATATGAGTGGGATGAAGCTCAGTGGGAGGAGAAAGGAGAGGCCTCAGGTTTGGTTTTGTTTTAATTAAAATGTCAAAAAATTTAATATTTTTAAAATTAATTTTAAAAAATATTTTAAAACATCACGTTTGATCAAAGTTTCACTTTAAGCACATGAAATACATGTGCACATGAATGCCCTTCAAGACATGGGAGTGCCAACACATCTGATAGTCCTGAT